TGTTATCCCTCTGCCTTCTGGCTTGCAATATTTCTGCTGAGAAATTCACTGATAATCTAGAGAGTGCCTTGTATGTGATGAGTTGTTTTTCTCTTGCTGCTTTCAAGTTTTCTTTTTTTGTCTTTGTCTTTTGACAGCTTGATTATAATGTATTGGCATGGGTTTCCTTGGATTTGCCTTGCAATTCACTCAACATCTGGGATTTGTAGATGCATGCCTTTCCTTAAATCCTTGAAGTTTGCAGCCATTATTTCTTCAAATAAGCTCTCTTCCCCCTTCTCTTTCTCTTCTTCTTTAATACTCATAATGTATATATTGGTATTGTTGATGGTGTTCTATATGTCCCTTAGGCTCTGTTTTCCTTCATTTTTTTTTTTTGGCCCTTCAGATTATAATTACAAGTAATTTGTCTTCAAGTTCAGTGATACTTTCTTCTGCCTATTCAAGTCTGCTCTTGAACTGCTTTAATGAGATTTTCAATTCAGTTATTTTATTTTTTATATCCAGAATTTCCATTTGATTCTGTTTAATAAATTTATCTGATTTTGTATAGTCTGTCTTCTTATAGATACTTTCACATAGTCCCTCTATCTCTAGTCTCTGAAAAAAATTGCATAAGATAGTATTATTTCTTTTAAAAATATTTGATGAAATTGATTGTTGAAATAGTTTGAAATTTTTCTATGTATTCTTTTCTATTCATGTCTGCTTAATATTCACCAGATATTTATGGACTGCCTACTATGTGTCAGGCATGGTTTTAAAGTCTTTGAAGTACATCAGTGAAAAAAACAGGATAAACATTTCAGGCGTCATGAGGATTACATTCTGGTAGTGGAGAAAATAAATTTTAAAAATTATAATTATAGGAAATTATGTAGAGTGTTAGGAAGTGATAAGTGTTATCAAAATAGAGCAGAGTAAGTGAGACCAGGAGTTGGGAAGCAGAATGGGATGTAGGAAGTCAGATTGGGATTTTAAGTAAGATGGTTAGGGTAGGACTTATTGGGAGGGTGATGGCTAATGTAAGACTTGAAGGAAGTGAGAATGTGAGCCATGTCAACATCTTGAGAAAGAGCATTCTAGGTAGAGGGAACACAGATGATCCAATGGAGGATCAGCCCTCCTATGTTTTAGAATGATCATGAAGCCAGTTTGGTTATTTTATTAAAGAATATTTAAGTGCATGTTTACAAAACAAGCAGAAAAGTTGTTGAGATGAATGTGAACATCCTGAAGTAAGCACATTTATTATATTATAATCATTTTTTCTATCTTTAAAAAAACCCAAAAGCTCAATATATAATAAATCTATTCAAATAGATGAGTATTCATTTTAGAACTTCAGCTTTGTAAGTACCTTTTCAGATTTATGGTAAATACACATATCAAAATATGGTAAATATAAATGTTGAAGATAATTATTTGGCTTACATGATCATATAACTAAGAACTTAATTATATGTTTTTAATTTTATAGGCTAGAGAATTACTTTTAATTCTGTGCATTCTAAAGGATTAGGAAAAATGAACATTCATTTTTATGTCAAATGCAATTTACTGTAGTTATTAAGTAATTAGTTGTTAAGTAGCTGTGACATTCTATTCCATTCTTAAAGAATAAACAACTTTGTATGGAAAAAATATAGTTTAGCAGTCAGGAGACTTGATTCTAGTCTAAGTCTTGAAATTCTTTAATGTATTATTTTGAAGCAGTCATTTTAAATGGCTTCATTTTACCTATGTGTTGGGAGTTTTGTTTATTTGCTTTATGTGAAACATGACTAGGTGTATTCTGTTTTCAAAATGCCTTGTTTTTGTCATTTTGTGATTGTTGTTTCTTAATGTTTTGCAATATATTGATGCACTGCTTTAAATATTTGTCTGATTGAGAACTGTTAAAGAAAAAATTGCAGTTTAGACAAATTCCTCCTTATTTTTAGTCCACCTCAGATATTTTCCTGATCACTTCAGAATTTTCTCTGAATCTTTTCCTGATCACTTTAGAATTAATTGATTTTCACCTGGGTGATTATAGCACTTTATGCATGTTCTTGTTATCACTTTTTATAATATGTTATAGTTACATGTTTATTAATCCATCCATGAGTTTTCTTTGTGCTTTTCAAACTCATCAGAATACATTGTACATATTTGTTGTTCAGTCATTTTTTTCATTGAATTTTTATGTCTGTATTGAAAAATCAACAGTTGACTCCTAAGGGTTAATATATCAGAAATGAAGATTGTGTTCAATAACATTACAGCTTGAAAGGCAATATTCCATTTAATGAATGTTTCTCTTGATTGACAACTCCTATTTCAGACCTTTAACGAGATTTAATTTGATCTTTTGGTCTAACGTTTATATTATAGAGATGGCATAAATGCTTATTTGCATGCCTCAAGTTGATGTAAGAAGTAGTTATTTTGTCACTGATTATGAGATTGTTAAAGAGGATGATTATTACTGATTACCTCTTTGCATTTTGGATCAAAGGCATGAATTTCCTAAAGATTAAGTGTTCTAAGAACTATTCAAAAGTATGTTTTTATATGGTAATATAATTTTTAGCAGGCATTCATAGCCATTTACTAGATAATGTGCCCTAAAGTATAATTAATCAGAATATGCCCTTTATTGTGTTTTGGATTTTCATATTCTTTTCAGTTCTCCCTAAACCTTATTTCTCTTCCTAACTTAAAAAAAAAAAGTATTTTTTGAAGAACCCTATTTATTCATTTATTCAACAGCTAGATATTTAACATTTACTATATGCTCCAGGCAGAGAATTAGGCCAAATCTATTATTAGATTTGAAAGTGAATAAGATAGATTAGGTCTCCACTGTCAGAATTAACAATGAACAAATAAACATTTGCCCATTTAGCCAATATTTACTGATTGCCTACCATGTGCTAGGCATTGTTCTGGGAATTGTGGGTACAGTCATAAAATAACAAAGTCCATGCCCTTGTGTAGCTTATATTCTAACAAAAGAATAACAGGATAAGTGGAGAAGGCTAACTTTATGAAGGTTGGTCAGGGAAGGCCTTTCTAGGAAATTGTCATTTGAGCTGAGATCTACAGGACAAGAGGGAACCAAAGGAAAAGGCTATTTGAGGACAAACAATTACCCCAGATAGTAGTGAACTAATTATGTTTGACACACATTGGCTTGTAGCTTTTAAGGTCAGAATATTAAGGATTATTTATTATTCCTTCCATTTTTCAATTAATTATGAAGTACAGGCATCATTTGTAAAGTTTGATAGGAGAGGGTAAACAGCAAAGGGAACAATTTGTGGAGAAACAAATTTGAGGAAAGATATCACTGTGAAATAGTAACTCTAGAGAACAGGGAATATACAAACAGCAAAAGCGCAGTGGGGTTGCTGGGCAGGGTTGAGGGTCTATTTGTCAGTTTCTTATCCTGAATTTTCACTGAAACTAGTCAACATGGTTGTATGGTTTTATCAGTTATGGGCACAGATGTGAAAATGATGTAGTATTTAACCAGAGTTGTTTTCCCCCTCCAGGAGAATATGATGGAAAAATTAAGGAACAAGAGTGTTGAGGGCATTTGTAAAGACATCACAATAATACAAGGCTTGAAGTCTATCCTGGGGAAGGAGAAATGAGCAGGGAGTGAAAAATTAAGAGGGTTGATGGGCTTAAAGAAAATTGAGGATCAGTGGATTGGTGATGTGAACACAGCTGAAAGTTATGAGTGTGGCCAGACAAGTGAATTTCATTGGCTAATATGAAATATTAATATATATTGAAAAAAGTGGTTTTGTATAGATAATTTAAAAATATGAGGGCTACTAGAGGTGCTAAGAGCACTTTCTTTTATTATTCTCACCTTTTTTTGTAGTTTTATAGAAATGGTGTAATATAATATAGGGAGAATACAGAAAAGAGCATTGTTTGGAAGTCAAGAAAAGGTAAAATCTCCTTTATAAAATCACTTAACCTCATTGACCTATTCTTTTAATTAATTGACAAATAAATTATTTCAACAGTATGCCAGGTGTTGGGTATACAGTGAAGATATCAGATACATAAATGCTATCTGATTTATAATCACAAAACAGTACCAGTGATGATATCAGATAGTGATAATATTGATGATGATATTAATAAATGACCTCATTGGCCATATGCTTTTAATTAATTAATTAATTAATCATTTTATCACTGTGCCAGATGCTGGGCATACAGAAATGCTGTCAGATAACAGCAGCGCAGAGTGCAGCTGGAGTACCAAGGTGGGGTATGCAACCCAGATGGGGTGGAGAGTAGTCACACTTGGATGAAGTGGTATCCAAGCTGAGATGTGAAAGATAAGTAGGTTTTGGAATTTGGCGAAGAAGCCTCAGGCAGATGGGGTCAGAAATAGTATATATTAAGGTCCTCAAGAAAGAAATGCCCTGAGGCATCCAGATTAGCTGAATCATAGTGTATGAGACAAGAGGCTGGAACATTAAGGAAAGACCATATTTTAAAGAACGTGGTAGGTTATGTTAAGGAAATTTCCTCCTAAAGGCCATGTAGAGGACTCATTATCGAGTTTTTACATAGAGAAGTAATATAAAACATGATCATTTATAATGTATAAGATCTGCTTAAATGAGGAAGTTGAATTTTATCATCTCTAAGTTCATTCTAAAATTATTTGATTTGTTGTGATACTTAATATAAAGAAGAAAATCAAAATTATATAAATATATATCTTATTTTAATCTAAAAACAATAGCAATTAAGAGACTAGATTGGACATAGAAATAAAGTCCTGCTTACAAAGCATTATTAAACTCATATTAATGTTTGCAAATGAGAATTGAAATTCAAATTTCTTATGACTCTGAAATATGTTTGGTTACTGTTGAATATTTTCTACCATATCGGTGAAAATATTAGCTAATTCCCCATGGGTTTGTGTGTGCCATTTGATATCCTCAGTCAAATGTAGATGAAACTGTACTTCTGATCTCCAGGTATTTAAACCTTTGAGATGTTTCCATTAATTGGAAAAACAATCATCTTTGATAACTTTCCTGATCCTTCTGATACATGGGAAATCACTGAGACAATTGGCAAAGGAACTTATGGGAAAGTTTTTAAAGTATTGAATAAGAAAAATGGCCAAAAAGCAGCAGTCAAAATTCTGGATCCCATTCATGTAAGTCGTATTTTTTTCTTCTAGTTAGCTTTATTTTTATCTATATTAAACGCTTAAAAAGACTGTATTTTATCTTGATTTATTCATCACAATAGCAGTCTAAAATAGGTTACAATTTAAAAATAAATGTAAAAGAAATGTCTACTTGTTTGATTTTCCAAGTTTCTGTGCTTAATACATGTAATAAGGCACAGTAAGTACTTGATGAATAAATGCTTAAACAAATAAGCACACAAAAATTGCTGCTCTCAACAGACAATATTATTGAGGTTGACTCAATATTATTTTAGAGATAAAAATTGTAAAGATACAAACTCAGGGGTCTAGAAGTAATCCTAAGTATGTCATCTTAACCATATCTTCTTTTTGTCCTGCATTTATTTAGGCTTCAGGAAGTATTTCTCTTAGACCAAACTAAAGAGGATTTTTTAAAACTTAATTTATTTCATAGAAGGAAAATTAATTTTCAGGTTTGCTTAAATGTTTCCAAAGCAGACATGGTATGGATATATAATCAGGGCAAAGTTCCTCATTATGAAAAATTAAATTTCATGTTCAGCTCTGCTGGTCTCATGTGAGGCCACAATGAGGGGGTCCCCATATGCTTTTTTTTTTTTTTTTTTTTTTTGATAATAGTAATAAGGGAAACTGCCACACCTTTTCTCTGCTGTAAATTGCATGAAACTACTGAGATTCTGTTTTGTGTTCATGAGAGCTGGCAGTTTCAGAATATCTTCAGGTTGCTGGGAGACACCTGTCTCTACCATAGCACATGGGTGAACCAGAATGAGCTCAGCAATCACATGCTCCCCAACATCTGTTGAAAACAATTTCTTTGATTGAAGGACTCTTGCACACATGACGGGAACATGTCATGATGGAAATGATGATATGTGTGCAGAGAGGGTATCAGAGCGGTAGGACCTTGTTACAGTTCATCTACTAACTGTGGGATGCTGCAAAAGGTCTCTGAGTTTCCATTTGTTCATTTTAGGGTTGCTGTTTCTTTTTTTGACAGTTTATTTCTGCTAAACCCATCATAACTACACTGTTCCATATTACTTTGAGCAGAGGAAAAAGGTAAGGGAGGTTTATTTTAAAGTAATAAATTAAATACACTGGAGGAAAAAAAATGAGACTTAGCATGCCTAGGCTTAACTGGTGCTGAATATCTTCACATTCTCTTGGAAACTTCTAAACATTTAAACTGAAGGAAGAGAGTCATAAGCTAAGTTCTACCAAAGTGACTGTACCTCTTTCCTCTAGCCTTTGCATTAGGCATTCAGCTGTGTGGCAGCATGAGAAAGAAATTTGGCCCAATCACATTGTCTGACCCCATAGTGTATCTCTCTCTTTCCCTTCCTTCTTAATGGAGAAGAGCAAATGGCTTATAATCTATGTAACCACTATTCTTTCATAGTTTACTCATGTATAGTATATCTACAAACCTTTTGAGTCATACTTAGTACTATTTAATGAAATATTGATTTCATAACTATAGCAATTTATTCCTTTGCTTTCATTCTTGTCACAGTACGAATATATTTTTCTAAGAATTATTTATTTACTCTTCATCATGTCACAAGTCAAAAGAAAAAAGATTTAAACCAAGAGATTATAGCATCCAAATATCTTTCAAAGATTAGCTTATTTTAAATTTAAGGAGTCTTACTATTACATATTTTTAATCAGTGATTTTTTTTTTCAAGAGGGGGTTGAATGAGTAAGATGAGAAGGTAGTAGTTTTGGAGTCTGTATCTGGGTTTTACACTAACCAGCTCTGACTGCAACTTCTCAGGACTTGACTTTATTCCTTTAAAAATTAGAGCTCATATATAAATTCTACTTCTGTGATTCCATGATTCTGTAATAAAACAACGTATACATTACATGTCACTATAAAAGCAATATTAATAAGGCTTTCTCTTATTTATTACTCTGGGAATTGTTTCATTTATGTGATTTTCTAGAAACATGACTAAGTGGCTTTCATTCTTATTAATGAGATAGCAACCTGTTCTTCTTTTGGTGAATGGACCTTTAGTTCATTAAAGGTTTTGTGCAATCTTTTATAACTTAATTCCATTTTAGATTTTTGAAAAAGTGGGAATTTATTGTTTGTATGACTGATTTTTGGATAGCTTCTAAATACCCTCTTTTCCGAAGAAACAAAATGAACCAGATTTCCAGTCCTAAAGTTTATTATTTCAGATCAATGGCTTTGCCATTGTAACAAAGTTAATAGTACAAAAAAGAAAAATCATCTGGAGTAGCTCTCCATAAATGTTTATTTATAATTGCATATAAAAATAACTTTTTCTTTAACCCTTTCAAAATGTGATTAAAATAACTAGAGATTCACTTGATTAGCATGAAAATCACAATTTCTCCCCTTAAATAACGTAACGAGAAATTACAATACACAGTAAAAACTATTATGACCTTCTTGACAAAATGAAATTCTATATTTGATATTCTGTAATCTATTTCTTTGAAATTACTCATGTTTTTCTCACAATTCTCTTCTTATGACTTCTTGAAACTAGGATATTGATGAAGAGATTGAAGCAGAATATAACATCTTAAAATCTCTTTCTGACCACCCTAATGTGGTTAGATTCTATGGGATATATTTTAAGAAGGATAAAGTAAATGGAGACAAGCTGTGGTTGGTTCTTGAGGTAAGTGTTTCAGCATTATTTGCATGGATGGAAACTTACAGTGCTTACTTTGTTTCATATATATGTGATTTTCTAGAAACATGACTAAGTGGCTCATCTTATTTTTGTTTCACTCTGAAATGACTTAATATACTAGTTATGTAACATTGATACCATATAAACAATTCTGGTAAGTTCCTGACCACAAATGTTGTGCCTAGTTTTGGCCTTGCTCTCTTAAGAAACATATCAGAAAATTGAAGGAAAGCCACAAAGACTATTAAATATTAAAAGGAAATAACTCCACAATGAAAGACTAAAGAAACTGAAACTATTTTTCCCACAGAAAAACAAGTTAAAGGGATTTCATTATAATATTTATTTATTCATCTATATTTTGTTTTGTTAACATGTGATGAGGCTCTGTGCCAGGTGCTAGGATATAAGAGAAAATTAACATGAGGCTTCATTACGTAAAAATAGTGAGCTATGATTTTCTTTTTCTGTCTTTTTTGAATGCTAATGACTTAAGCTATAGAACCAGGTATTTATATTTATAGGGAAGAAAACTTATTTAAAATGGTGTTGATACTGAGTAAGTTGCCAAAAGGAAGCTGTAGAGTCGGCCTTTTCCAATCCTGAAAAAGTTTTCTTATACTTTAGCAATCCTTTCTAAGGCAGGATACTAGCAGGTTCCTCACTAAGGTGACTGCCAGTCTCAGAATAATTCCATCTTTCTGATTTTCATTGAATATTATACAAGTGAGGTAAACATTATTTCTAATAAATTCTATTAGAATTTTTTAAAGTTGCTTTTATCAAATTCAGGGACAGTAGATACCTTTATTTGACAACTATAACAGCATATATTTATTGTGTTCATTATTATTTTATAAGCATTTGAGTATTTTCTTTTTGAATGTTCCCTTGATTTTCCTGAAGTGGCATTGTCTCAGTCCATTTGTACTGCTGTAACAAAAATCGACACACTGAGTAATTCATAAAGAATAGAAATTTATTCCTTACAGTTTTGGAGGCTGAAAGTCCGAGATCCAGGAACCATCAGGTTCAGTTGTTTGGTGAGGCCTGTTCACCTCCAAGATGGCACCTTGTTGCTATATGCTCTGGAGAGAAGAAATGCTGTGTTCTCACATGGCAGAAGGCAAGGGAGCCCAACACTGTGTGGAGCCTATTTTTAATAAGGCTCTTAAAACCCCATTCACAAGAAAGAAGCCCTGATGGCCTACCTCCCACCTCTTAATAATCCCACCTCTTAAAAATCCCACCTCTTAATAATATCACATTCACCATTAAGTTTCAACACATGAATTTTGGAGGGGACACAGCCAAAGTGTAATAGGCATAGTAATCGTGTGTAAAATATATTAAGACTTTATATTCATATTTTTCCATTATGTTTTTTTGTTTGTTTGTTTTTTGAGACAGAGTCTTGCTCTGTCGCTTGGGCTGGAGTGCAGTGGCACGATCTCACTGCAACCTCCACCTCCCAGGTTTAAGCAATTCTCCTCCTCAGCCTCCGGAGTAGCTGGGATTACAAGCGCATGCCACCACGCTCAGCTAATTTTTTGTATTTTTAGTAAAGACAGGGTTTTGCCATCTTGGCCAGGCTGGTCTGGAACTCCTGATTTGTGATCCATCTGCCCCGGACTCCCAAAGTGCTGGGATTATAGGTGTGAGACACCATGACTGGCATTGTTCTTTTTTTTTTTTATTTTTTTTTTTTTTTGAGATGGAGTCTTGGTATGTTCCCCAGGCTGGAGTGCAGTGGTGCAATCTCAATGATTGCAACCTCCACCTCAGTTCAAGGGATTCTCGAGCCCCAACCTCCTAAGTAGCTGAGATTACAGTCACATGCCACTATGCCCAGCTAATTTTTTTTTTTTTTTAGTAAAGACAGTGTTTCACTATGTTGACCAGGCTGGTCTCAAAACTCCTGACCTCAAGTGATCTGCCTACCTCGGCCTCCCAAAGTGCTAGGATTATAGGCATGAGACACTGTGCCTGGCTTCCTTAATGGTTTTAAAGTGATTCTACAAATAATAGATGATCATTGCAGAAAATATTTGAAGCCATAAAAAAAACTCTTAACATATTTGTTTCATTTGGTTGTATATTTTTTTCTTTTTTTGTCCTTTTTAAAATTTTAAGTTCAAGAGTACATATGCAGGTTTGTTATATAGGTAAACTTGTGTCACAGGGGCTTGTTCTGCAGATTATTTTATCACCCAGGTGTGAAGTCTAGTTCCCATTAGTTATGTTTTCCTGATCCTCTCCATGTTCCCACCCTCCACCCTCAGGTAGGCCCCAGTATCTGTTGTTCCTCTCTATTGTCCATGATTTAACTCCCACTTATAAGTGAGAACATGTGACATTTGGTTTTCTGTTCCTGCATTAGTTTGCTAAGGATAATGGCCTCTGGCTTCAACCATATTCCTTCAAAGGACATAATGTCAGTCTTTTTTGTGGCTGCATAGTATTCTGCAATGTATATGTACCACATTTTCTTTATTCAGTCTGCCATTGATGGCATTAATATGGTTTGTCTGTGTCTCCACCCAAATCTCATCTTGCAATTTCTGTGTGTTGTGGAAGGGACCCCCGTAGGAGGTAGTTGAATCATGGGGGCAGGACTTTCCCATGATGTTCTAGTGATAGTGAGTAAGTCTCATGAGATCTGATGGTTTTATAAGGGGGAGTTTCCCTCCACAAGCTCTGTCTTTGCCTGTTGCCATCCGTATAAGATGTGACTTGCTCCTCCTTGCCTTCCACCATGATTGTGAGATCTCCCCAGCCATGTGGAACTATAAGTCTATTAAACCTCTTTCTTTTGTATATTGTCCAGTCTTGGGTATGTCTTTATCAGCAGCATGAAAACGGATTAATACAGCCATTTAGGTTGATTCCATGATTTTGCTATTGTGTATTGTGCTGCAATGAACATAAACGTGCACATGCATGTATGTTTGCAGTAAAACAATTTCTATTCCTTTGGGTATATACCCAGTAATGGGATAGCTAGGTTGAATGGTAGTTCTGCTTTTAGTTCTTTGAGAAGCCATCACACTATTTTCCACAATGGCTGAACTAATTTACACTCCCACCAGCAGCATATAAGCATTTTATTTTCTCTGAAACCTCACCAACATCTGTTATTTTTTGACTTTTTATAAATAGCCATTCTGACCGGTATCTCATTGTGGCTTTGATTTTCATTTCTCTAATAATCAGTGATGTTGAGCTTTTTTCATATGCTATTGGCCACATGTATGTCCTAGTTTGAAAAGTATCTGTTCATGTCCTTTACCCACTGTTTAATGGGTTGTTTGTCTTTTCTTCTAAATGTAATTTCCTTATAGATGCTGGATATTCAACCTTTGTCAGATGCATAGTCTGCAAAAATTTTCTCCCATTCTGTAGGTTGTCTGTTGATGGTTTCTTTTGCTGTGCAGAAGCTTTGTTTGTTTGTTTGTTGTTTGTTGTTTGTTTTTTGTTTTTTTTTTTGAGGCAGAGTCTTGCTCTGTCACTCAGGCTGTAGTGCAGTGGTGCAATCTCGGCTCACTGCAACCCCTGCCTCCCAGCTTCAAGCAATTCTCCTGCCTCAGCCTCCCAAGTAGCTGGGAATGCAGGCACCTGCCACTATGCCCGACTAATTTTTGTATTATTAGTAGAGATGGTGTTTCACCATGTTAGCCAGGTTGGTCTCAAACTCCTGACTTCAGGTGATCCACCTGCCTCGGTCTCCGAAAGTGCTGGGATTACAGGCATGAGCCACTGCGCCCGGCTGCAGGAGCTCTTTAGTTTACTAAGATCTCATTGGTCAATTTTTGCTTTTGTTGCTATTGCTTTTAGAGTCTTTGTCATGAAATCTTTGCTGATTCCTATGTCCAGAATAGATGGTATTGCCTAGGTTGTCTTCCAGGGTGTTTATAGTTTTGGGTTTTATAGTTAAGTTTTCAATCCATTTTGAGTTGATTTTTGTATATGCTGTAAGCAAGGGATTCAGTTTCAGTCTTCTGCATATGGCTAGCCAGTTATCCCAGCACCATTTATTGAATAGGGAATCCTTTCCCCGTTGCTGGTTTTTGTCAGCTTTGTCAGAGATCAGATAGTTTTAGGTGTGTGGCCTTATTTCTGGGCTCTCTATTCTGTTCCATTGGTCTGTGCATCTGTTTTTGTACCAGTACCATGCCGTTTTGGTTAGTGTAGCCCTGAAGTATAGTTTGAAGTTGGGTAGTGTGATGCCTTCAGCTTTGTTCTTTTTGCTTAAGATTGCCTTGGTTATTCAGGTTCTTCTTTGGTTCTATGTAAATTTTAAAATGGTTTTTTCTAGTTCTGTGAAGAATGTCATTGGTAGTTTGGTAAGAATAGCATTGACTCTATAAATTGCTTTGGGAAAGTATGGACATTTAAATGATATTGATTCTTCCTATCCATGAGTATGGAATGTTTTTCCATTTGTTTGTGATTTCTTTGAGTAGTGTTTTGCAGTTTTCACTGTGGAGATCTTTCACCTCCCTGGTCAGCTGTATTCCTAGGTATTTTATTTATTTTGTGGCAACTGTGAATGGGACTGTGTTTTTGATCTGGCTTTCAGCTTGGCTATTTTTGGTGTATAGGAATGCTAGTGATTTTTGTACACTGATTTTGTATCTTGAGATTGCTGAAGTTATTTATCAGCTTAAGGAGTTTTTGGGCTGAGACTATGAAGTTTTCTAGATACAGAATCATGTCATCTGCAAACAGAGATAGTTTGCCTTTCTCTCTTCCTATTTGGATGCCATTTCTTTCTTTCTCTTGCCTGATTGCTCTGGCCAGGACTTCCAATACTATATTGAATAGGAGTGTATATTTTTTGTATATTTAAAATTGTTGACAATATTACTTATGAAATTATCCTATATTTTCACTTAATGTAACCCCAGATAGTTTTAATTATTGTTATGTTTTTCAAAGTAAATACATTTACTTAAGTAATACGAAAGCAGATAGTTCCAAAGTGT